GGAACTGATAGAAGGTGATGCTTATTTACATGCATAAGCAAACCCTGAGCTCACCTCAAAATGGGAAGGCAACTTTTTCTGATTTTTTTTAGCTATATCACTGACAATTTTCATAGCTTTGTCATTTTTTCCTTGAGATATCAGCCACCTGGGAGACTCTGGGAGGCACCTGCAACACAAGTGGATGACATTATATACCGAAACATAAAGCCCACACAGTGCTTCCATGTATGGAGAGAGTGCTTTGACTGAATTGAGGCAGATGGCTTTTCTGTTTAGGTGGGTGGGTTTTGTTTATTACTTCCCACTTCCACAATCAGGAAAAAGTAGTATATCCCACAGCTGAGATTAGAAGAGAAGCAGTTGAGGTAGTGACTTTAATCAAAGAAGAGTTTATTAAGGATAAATCAGGGAAAGGTGGCCAATATCATGACCCAATCATCTTAACCATCCCATTCACCACAAACGGCTCTTCTTAGCCATTTTTCAGTTCTGGCATTACAGGTTAAGAAATAGTAAATAAGCTAGAACTGGCTTACCAACTCAAAAATATGGAAGAAGGCAAAATTTTTTTTCTACTATTCCTAACCCCTTGACACATCCAGAAAGTTTATAAAATCCAAAGCACTCAAACAAACAAAAAAATCAATTAAAAAGAGAAAGGAGAAATAAAAATTAAGGTGAGTCCACATGCTTTATTTTTTATTTTGATTGGACCACAAAAACCTGCAAATTTTTTCCTTAAAATAACGTGCTAACAACATGCTACAGTTATTTTAGCATTAGACAATATCTCAACCATATTTTCAGTGTAGAGTCCGCTAAATTATGCCAAGGGACTTATTTTCCTTTATGAAATGCTTAAATAAAATAAATTATATTAATTTTCTTTTCCTCTAGTGTTTTTCAAAGAGATCTGTCTTTTCAAATACGGGTCAGGTCAGGTGCCCAGGCTAAGATTCAGTAAGGTCTCAGTTGCTGAAGCATCCTATATTTCCCTCTCCTTTTTGCTGTGAACCTCTTCTTTGCACCTAGAGGTGTGCACGACCAAGAAGGAATGCCAAGTCTCTTTCAGTATCAAGCCTCAGAAGCAGGAGAAGCTGGTTTGTTTTGGAATTGTGGGCAGAGGTACAACAGAAGCCCATTTACCAGTAGTAGAGAAGGAAGAAGCAGGTCGGCAGAGTGACAGTGAGCTGCAGCCACCGCCAGTGAGGGATGGCATAAGCGATGGCATCGAAGACCAGGAGCCCAACGGAGAAGGCCGTCTGGTAGAGGATGCCCACCGTCCTCCGGTACTGTGGACCGACAACTTCTGTCACTGCAAACGCACAAAGACAGTTGAATGCCACAACCACCCAGCACAGGAGTAACTTGCTGTGTGGGGACACTGGAAGACCAGTGCCATATTAACACCTTGAAGAAACCATCTTGGTTAATCATGGGCTTCCCAGCATGTCTCCAGAAAAAAATCCCCTAATGCTTATAGGGAAAGGTTTGCTTTTCTGTCACCCAAACTTCAGCAAAGAAGAAAACACCGCTCCAGGTCTTATACTGGCCTAAGACATTCAGTACTGTCCTCTGTCATGGAGATCTTTGAGTAAATCAAGCATTTGACAAAGTGCACAGACGACTTCATTGTATAATCTAATGCCAACATACACAATGTCTCCAACATAAAAACAAAGCAGAATATTTTGTTTCCAAAGTGCCAGCTTTCAGCCTGCATCTCACTCCAAGCATGCAAGCCTGCATCACAGGATGGCACAGAGCTCCTTGGTCAGGATGGTATCTCAGCTCATCTGCACTTTGCAACTCCACATCAAAAACATAGACCCACAGACTAAGTCTTGTTGATACAGAGTTAAAAGTAACTATTCCAGCAGGCAGGCATATGTGCACTCAACATTTTGTGTGCAGTTGTATGATTTCAAGAAAGCAAACTAATTAGGAAAGTAGCAGAGAGCAGTTATTAAGCAACTAAAGGAAGCGCTGAGTTTTGGAATTACAGATTATCTAATACTGCTTGGCCAAATAATGCACAAAGACATCTCCTCAGGCTCAGTAGGACTGAGCCAAAGGCAGCTGAAGTGTAGACAAGTGCCCTAGGAGAGCAGGGTAACAAGGTTGTTCTGTCCTTGTGCCCTTCCCTGGGCACGCATTATTGGCCACCCTTAGGGGCCTTCAGGGCTGATTCTGGGTGACATCTTTTTTATGAGAGAGTTTCAAGAGAATCCAGAAGTAATAAGATGTAACTGAGGGAAAATATCAGGACAGGGCAAGTCATTGTCCTGAAAGGGACTTTGTGCTCTGAAATCGCATAAAGTTCCCCAGAAGAGATGATGAGGATTTCATTTGTGGAAAGAAAAGATTTAAGAGGCCAAGCAAGTATCTACAAATGCACTGGAAAGAGTAATTATGCCTTAGCAGAAGATAGTCTGAACTGTGGGAGAGGTGCTTTTGTTTTATTTATACCAGACACTATGTAACTGCAGAAGTAAGATGTCCCCACTAAAAGACTTAATGGAGGCTTAGGGCATTGACATTTACATTTTTACCACTATCACAGTGAACTGCATCACTCAGAGCTATCTGGTAGAGCCACCTGATGTCCTAGCCCAGAAAAGGCTCTATTAGTCAGCATTTAAAATAATTAATCTGCTGCTTGAGTGATTGCTTGGTATTGGGTATTTCATACAAGGGATTGAACTCCATTCCAGAGAAATTAGAGAAATCACAGGGAGCTCCACCCTGCACCAGAAAATGGTCTTGAGATGGCCCCGAACCCAACCTGGCCACACAGCAGTGCTTCACCACCAGATACAATTGGTGCAGGGCACTGGGAGAGGCATCCACAGAGGTTGGCTCCTCTAATGGCTTGGCCTCCATTCAGACAAGTGGATACACAGGTATACAAACACTTTGTCTTTCTCAGCAAGTACAGGCTACAGGTTCTTCTACAGTTATTTTTAGGCTGCAAAGCCTCTGTTTGGCCTTTAATGCTCTTTGTGCCATAAAAATGCCTCTGCTTTTCCCCACCCTCTTCCTGCCTCCTCTGTCATCATCCTGTCTGGAGCAGATGCAGTCTGCCTGGAGCCATCACCTTCCCCAGCCAGAGCACGATGGGAGGAAGAGGAGCCCAGGTGCCCAGATCTGCAAAGGTGAGCTGTGCCATAGGAAAAAAGCCTGTCTCAAGGTAACAGCCCTCATATACCACAACTTGATGGAGCTTTGAAAGCTGCTATTGTTCCTCCCTAATGACAGTTCTTGAAAAAATCTTGAGAAGTCAAAGAGGGAGAAAACTCCTTGATAAAACACCACGGGAGGCATTTTTTTAATGGTTTTTGTTCAGGTTTTTTTTAGTTGAGGTTTTCCCTTTATCTTCTACAGATAGTCTTATGCCTGCGAGAAGTTTCGGAACTCACCCAGGATGTAGCCTGCAGTCCAGCAGCCCTTGCTGACCAGCCCTTGCAGGAACCGGATGATGACTATCCACAGGTAGGTGGGCACAAAGACCAGAAGGATTCCACAGATAATGTTTGCAAAAATTGTGGTTAAGAGGCAAAATTTACGGCCAAACCTGGATTGGAAAATAATATGCATGAAGCAAACCACTAGTCATGAAAGCACAGGCATTTTAAAGTAGTAAGAGTTTTGTGTATCTTTGAGGGAAAAAAAAAATCCAATTTTGCTATACAAGGGATAGAGACATGCTTTTATCCTCTGCTCATTATTCATTTATCTGCTTTTCTAATCTATGAAAAGTTCTTGTCACAGTTGCTCTGCAATTCTGCAGTAACTTTCAGAAAAGAAAGAATAGTTCCATATTTACATATATTATATTGGGGGTAAAAAATAAGTTGGTATTATTACTAGATTTATAAAGGGTTTATATACCACAATCTTAATCTTCAAAACTCTAGTACGTGTGGATCTCATAATAAGGGAGCTGCATTTCACAGCTGAAGCAACTCAGAGCCTGCTATTTTAACAGTCCTAGGCAAGAGGGGAACAAGGAGGGAAATGGGTCATCAGATCCTGGCAGCTGTTCCTCTTTAATGCCAGGTGCCTGAACTAGGGAGTTTGACTCTGCTGGCTCTGAACAGCTAAAGAGATTTCTGCTTTTTCACAGTGACTGCTGCTGCACCCACCTGGCAATCTCTCTGCAAACAATTTCTAAGTTTCTCCAAAGGAAGCAAGATGATCCCAAGCTGTAGCCACACAGAGTGTAACAGATCAAGTGGGAGCCTCAAAACAGCAATTCCTGGCTTTGGTCAACACTCCAGGGTTCTGATGTGGCACAGTAGGAAGTTTGGGGTGTACAGTACTAAAATAATCCTTGCAGGCTTTGCAGGACTCGCTGAGCAGATCTATGCCAACTGCCAAGTATAACCCAAGAAGAAGGGTACTTGCTCCTCACACTGTGATTAAACATCCAGGTGGCCAGCCTTATTTTGAGAAGAGCAGAGATTATATCAGCTGCACAACCCTTATTAAGTTTGGCTGCTGAACACCAATAAGGGAGGTCAGAGGATTTTGCTGTCGGCCCACACATACCTGTCTGCGATGTAGCCAATGACTATGGAGCCAATAAGAAACCCAGCATTCACAGCAGACTGAAAGAGGTCCAACTTCCAGGAATCCTCACACACGAGGTCAAACTAAAGGAGCAACCACAGTCAGAGGCAAAAGGCTGAAATGAGGAGCTGGCTCACATCCACATCCTCTTCAGTTAAAGATTTAAACTTGTTTCTGAGTCAATGCTTGTTTTGTCACTCAAGTTAGTAGGATTTCTGTGTGCTAAATGTCCAGCATTAAAAACTGGAACAAGCCCTGGAGCAGCTTACTGGTTTTTCCAATTCACGTTTCATCTCTTTGCTGGAAAGAGCATAGGCGAGTTACTACCCATCAAAACTGGCACCCTAACTTGTGTTGGCCTTTGCTGATCAAACCATCATGGATCTGATGATCACACTGGGTTTTTCAAACAGCTTTTTGTATGCATCTGGAAAGCAGGTATTTTGTATTCAGGACAAAGCTTTATATTGCATGGGTATCCACATATATTTGCCATCTGGTCTGACTTTTCATATTTTACTTGTAGATATACATAAAACCTACTAAAAAGCTACTAAGAACTCTCTTAACATGACTGAGGATACCTTCTCATCCTGCTGGTAACTAAGTTTAATTGAATCTATGCACCTGAACACAAAACCAGATATTTCTCCTGATGCTCTGTGGGGCTCTCCATGAGAGTATTCTTCTATATGCAAATATTTCCTTTGGCCAAAGTAACACTTCCTACACTGTGCTACCCTTTCCCTTGTTTAGCTGTTAGAGAGCAACAGGACTCACTGATAAAATACACACACAGGCATGTGACGTGTGATTATCCCATAAGAGAAGTGGCCCATGAGCCCAGCTTTGCACCCCCTTCAGCACGAAAGGGAAGACAACTGATGTGAGAGCATGACTGCATGAACCCATACAGACTGCAAGTTTTTAGCTTCCCACAATCTCATGAGATAATGGTGGAGTCATGCGAATCACAGCACCTGCTGGAGCCTTTTGCAGCAAGATGTGCCCGTGAGCTGCTGCTGTGCAGAAGGCCTTCGTTTGAGGTGCCTCGCTTCAATATCATACACCCCATACCTTGCCTGAAAGAAGTACACCCACAGTATAACATCTTATATCTAGTTCCAGCCTCTCACAAAACTGTAAATTCCGAAGTTGATAGAGCACAGAATTTACCTGGTCCTCTGTTTGTGTTAGACATATAGGGAAAAGAATCCTGACCTCGATGGTCCCTAAAAATTTGGTGGAATTTTCTATAATGAAATCATCCCAGTTACTGGTTTATTTTTAAAGTTCAGGCACCTAAACTGCTAAAGAACAGCAAGTAGCTTAAGTACCATTTTCAGTTTATTCTCACCCCTTCTGAGAACACAAAACAGCCATCAGCTTTTCTGCAGTTTAGTCCTGACTT